AAAGCCCGAGGAAGGACCCGTGGGCAAGATCGGCCGATGGCAGGCGCTCTCGGTCGACCACAAGCCGAACCGGCCCGACGAGAGGGAGCGGGTGGAGCACTGCGGCGGGCGCGTGACGAAGAGGACCAACGATGTGTGGCGCTTCCAGAGCGTGCTCGCCGTCTCCCGCGCGTTCGGCGATCACGGGCTCAAGGTGGGTGCCGGCGGCTCCGCACTCACTGCGAACCCGGAGATCAAGATATTCACGCGCCAGGAGAACGACAAGTTCTTCGTGTTGGCTAGGTAAACACACGCGCACACGCGCACACGCGCACACAACACCGCACGCATGAAACTCATCAACCTCCCCCTCTTTTGTAACCATCAGTGACGGCTTATGGGACGTCTACACCAACGAACAGGCCGCGAAGGTCGGCCGCAACGTTCTTCTGCAGAACCCCAAGAACCCCGCCCAAGCGGTACCGTCACTCGTCAAGCTCATCTAAGCCCTCTTTTTTTTTCTTCATGTTCATCCACTCCCCCCCGACGTCATCATCGCGACTCACGCCCTCTCTTCTCTTGTTGGTGGCGCAGGTGGCCGACGCGTTGACCAACGGCGCCTACGAAAAGGAGTCGTTGGACAACATCACCACGCTGGTCGTGCTTCTCGACGACGCAGCGGCAGCCGCGCACAACTCGCCTTCGGCTTTGACCAGCAGCACCGGCGGCGACTCGTCCGAAGGCGACGACTCGTCGTCCGCACCCAACTCGCCGCCCGTCTCCGCCCGCTCCCGCCACAGCGAACTCTGAAGGGTGACTCGTCTCTGTACATGTCGATTTATAAATGTAAATACTCCCACTCCCACCGCTTGTGCGCCGTTGGCCGACCAGCAGTTAGCCAAATGGACCAAGGTGATTCGCAACTCGGAAAGCGAAGCGGTTTATTATTAAAGTTAGCTCCGGTGGAGGAGGAAACCACATAGCCCACCGTCTGGGCCGAAAGAGAACACAAGCCACCATGCTGTTGTAGAGCCCCCGCGCTTCCCCGACGTGCCCGAGGCCTCCATTCCGACCGTGTGGGACGACACCGTGCCGCTCATCTACACCACCGCGCCCGGCGTCAAGCCCGGCCACGTGTGGCTCTTCGGCCAGGGCGTGCTCGTGAACGAGTCCGACCCACAGCCGCTGCAGTGCGTGCTGGGCGGAGTCGCGCGGCCGATGGTGCGGTCGAAGCGGTTCTGGTACACCAAATTCACCACGGCCTTCCTGTGCGAGTTGCCCTCGCCGCCGGGGCTGGTTGAGGGCGGAGCCCTGCTCACCATCCTCCACCGCGGCGCGCCGGCGCCCTCCACCGCGCGCTACCGCCCCGAGCTCTTCGTCGACAGCGTCAAGAGCGACAATGCGGACAGTGTCGACGTCGTCGGGCCACTACGCTACGGCACGTGCATGGTGACGCAGATGCGGGACATGGCCTACATGGTCGACGAGTGGGTGGCCTACCACCGCCACATCGGCATCGACCACTTCTACATCTACGACAACAACTCCACCGACCACCTCGCCGCCCTCTACGGCCACGGCCACGATGACATCGAGGTGATCCCATGGCCCTGGCGGCGGTCTCAGAACCAGGCCTACTCGCACGCGCTGGCCTTCGCCCGGTCGCGCTGCCATTGGATCTTCTTCGCCGACGTCGACTACTTCCTCCTTCCCCCTCACTTCGCCGCCCACAGTCCAAGGTACCGTCGCCCACGTGCTCGATCGTTACAAGTGCTCGGTGTCGTCGGTGGTGGAGCTGCGCTTCGAGGGCCTGCGCCCGAGCCACGACAATCTCACCACCTGCCCCGACACACCGGTGATCGAGACCTACATACACCGCAGGCCCGACAAGAACGCCTACGACCTGGGCTTCGGGCTGGTCATGTCATCGGCCGCCGACGCCCTCCACCACATCCACTTTGCCGAGCTCCAGTCCCACCGCAAGTCGGTGAAGGTGGCGCATGACGTGGCATTCGGGTACCACTTCAGCGACCGGTGCTGGCCGCAGTACTATCGGCAGAAGTGCTTCGGAAGGGGCAGCATTCGCGACTGGGACATCCCCAACGACGTCGACGAGACCCACCCGAAAAAGGAGTGGTGGGACATCGGCAAGCATGCGGTGGTGACCGACACGCGGCTGCGCGACTTCAAGCGGACACTGGTCGGCCCCGCGCCCGCGCCCGTGATCAGACGCGCGCCATTCGACTACACCTGCGGTTAAGGGAGCAGGTGTGGTTTGAAGAAATAAAAAACATCGTCGAGGACCGGTGGGTACGCGCAACAACATCGGCCTCGATCGAAGATTGCAAACAGGGGTTGGAGATCCCAAAGTAGCTGCGACTTCCGGCACCACCATTTGGCCACCGCGCATTCTCCGCGAGGGCCGAGTCGACGAGGCGATTTTCGGCCTGACCGTGGGCCACCACCGTGAAGATGGCCAGCGCGTAGGGTCGTCTGCGGGTGGTCTTGGTTGGCAACGTCACGTGTTGGAAGGTAAAGAGATCGAGAGAGAAGAGGCGGAGGAGCCGTGGGGACGTGCGAAGACGGAGGAGAGAAGAGAGGAATAATGTACTGTAGGAGTTTGACAAGTGATAACTGTACGAGGAGGGAAAAGAATACTCGAGATGATGCGTAGCCAACATCACGCCCGCAAAAAATTGTTGTTGAACAGCTTTTTTGTAATTGGCTCGGGACGTTGCAAGGAAAGCTGTAATGCACGTGGGCGTGAACGTCTGGCTTGCCGCGCGGCCAAGGATCTACATCTTTTGATTCAGACACCATGTCTCCACAGACATCCTTCGGCCCTCGCTTCCGTCTCCTCGTCCTTCTCATCGCTTCCCTCTTTGCACTCCGCTTCTCTCTCACCACTCTCTTCTCCGACCCGCCCGCCACCACCCTAGACTCCGACAACACAAAACCAACATCCGATGGTAAAGAAGAAGATGACGAACTCCCCCGGCCCCCGCGCTTCCCCGACGTGCCCGAGGCCTCCATTCCGACCGTGTGGGACGACACCGTGCCGCTCATCTACACCACCGCGCCCGGCGTCAAGCCCGGCCACGTGTGGCTCTTCGGCCAGGGCGTGCTCGTGAACGAGTCCGACCCACAGCCGCTGCAGTGCGTGCTGGGCGGAGTCGCGCGGCCGATGGTGCGGTCGAAGCGGTTCTGGTACACCAAATTCACCACGGCCTTCCTGTGCGAGTTGCCCGCGCCGCCGGGGCGGCTCGAGGCCGGAGCCCTGCTCACCATCCTCCACCGCGGCGTGCCGGTGCCCTCCACCGCGCGCTACCGCCCCGAGCTCTTCGTCGACGCTGTCGAGGCCCGGCCGCGCTACGGCACGTGCATGGTGACGCAGATGCGGGACATGGCCTACATGGTCGACGAGTGGATGGCCTACCACCGCCACATCGGCATCGACCACTTCTACATCTACGACAACAACTCCACCGACCACCTCGCCGCCCTCTACGGCCGCGGCTACGGCGACGTGGAGGTAATCCCATGGCCCTGGCGGCGGTCTCAGAACCAGGCCTACTCGCATGCGCTGGCCTTTGCCCGGTCGCGCTGCCATTGGATCTTCTTCGCCGACGTCGATTACTTCCTCCTTCCCCTCACTTCGCCGCCCACAGTCCAAGGCATCGTCGCCCATGTGCTTGGTCAGTCCAAGTGCTCGGTGTCGTCGGTGGTGGAGCTGCGCTTCGAGGGCCTGCGCCCGAGCCACGACAACCTGGTCACCTGCCCCGCCGCGCCGGTGATCGAGACCTACGTGCACCGTAACGCTGACGAGGCCCGTGCCTATGACCAAGGCTTCGGGTTGGTCATGTCATCGGCCGCCGACGCCCTCCACCACGTCCACTTTGCCGAGCTCCAGTCACCAACCCACCACAAGTCGGTGAAGGTGGCGCATGACGTGGCATTCGGGTACCACTTCAGCGACCGGTGCTGGCCACAGTACTATCGGCAGAAGTGCTTCGGAAGGGGCAGCATTCGCGACTGGGACATCCCCAACGACGTCGACGAGACCCACCCAACGCAGGAGTGGTGGGACATCGGCAAGGGGCAAGTGGTGGCCGACACGCGGTTGCGCGACTTCAAGCGGACACTGGTCGGCCCCGCGCCCGCGCCCGTGATCAGACGCGCGCCATTCGACTACACCTGCGACCCAGACCCCGTGGGTTTAAAGAAATTCCTATATCGCACCTCGTACGGTATGATATAACAACAATTTATTAGAAGTATATAGTGTCTTTGTTCTTCTGTGAATTCTGGTTGAGGTGTTTGTTTAGTCGCTATCCTCCTCGTCATCGTCATCATGGTCGTCTTCATCTTCTTCCTCCGCTTCCTTGATCCACTTGAAGAATCGCTCGCACTGGTGACACGGAAACCATGCAACATCAGAATGCGAGTGCGTGTTCGCTGCGGTGCTGTGTTATTATCGTATATTGTGTTACAAAATAGGATGATAAATAAAAAGAAAAACACAAAATAAAAAATAATGTAACATAAAAAGAGGAAGATGGACACCGGCGCAGTGTGTGAGGTGTGCGTGGACAGCGTGGCGTCGGCCAGGGCCGCAGAAGAGGGCGGTGCCGCGCGGGTGGAGCTCTGCTCAGCGCTCTTCGAAGGTGGCCTCACTCCCTCCCTCGGACTCCTCCGGTACCAAAGCCCCCCTCCAACCCCCTTCCAAGCGCGGCACTGACGTGGCATTCTGCATCCACGACCGCACACACGACCGCACACGGGGGAGTAGACAGGTGAAGAAGGCGGTGAAGCTCGACGTGTTCGTGATGGTGCGGCCGCGCGGTGGCGACTTCTGCTACACCGACGCCGAGCTCGACGTCATGAAGGACGACATCGAGGTACGTATCTCGCCACTGGCCTCTTCTCTGGGCCAAGAGAGGCTTGACTCGTCGTACGCATGTGAAGATCTTCAAGGCCGAGGGGGTGGCGGGCGTCGTGTTCGGGATCCTCAAGCCCGACGGCAGCGTGGACGTCGAACGTACGGGCGAGCTCGTGCGGCTGGCCCGCCCGCTTCAGGTACCCTGCGGCCACCAGAGCCGTACCTGCCATATGATTCAACGTGCCCATCCTGTGTGTGGTGTGTGTGGTGTGTGGTGTGTCGTATCCCGGGCAGGTCACGTTCCATCGGGCGTTCGACATGGCGAAGGACCATCTGCAAGCCGTGGAGGACATCATCTCTTTGGGTACTCGTTCACCCTCATTAAAATATTTAGTATTGTATTATTTGTTGTTGATTATACTGTGCGTACGCGCGTGACGTGTGGCAGGGGTGGAGCGGATCTTGACGTCGGGTGGCGAGTCGACGTGCCTGGAGGGCCTCGACGTGCTGGCCTCGCTCGTACAGAAGGCCGGCGACCGAGTCACCATCGTGCCCGGCGGCGGCATCACCGAACGCAACATCCAACGCATACTCAGGTTCACTTCCCCATACCACCTCACTCGAGCAAGCCGTGTGTCGTGCGGTGTGTGTGTGTGTGTGTTTGTGTGTGTGTGTGTGTGTGTGTCGTGCGGTGGGATTTCTGAACTGATCGTGAACTTGGCGGCACATCAGAGGATGCCAGGCGAAGGAGTTTCACGTGTCGGGCCGCACAACGCAGGACTCGCAGATGGTGTACCGCAACGGGAGCTGCTTCATGGGCGGGGTGCTGCGGCCGCCCGAGTTCGCCGTCTCCGTCGTCAACCCGGACCGCGTCCGCTCCTTCCTCGACCGCGCCTCTTGAGACGTCACTGGTCGTGGGACGGGGATTACCTTTCTTCGTCTGCGACTGATCGCTGCACAAGAAGACAAACACGCACACAAACGCACAACAAAGAAGAAGAAAAAGGAAAAGGAAAAGATGGCTGAAGCAAAGCAGGCGCTAGAGCACGACTATGAGCAGAAGATGGACCACTTGGCCATGCTAAATGAGTGCCTGGCGAGTCAGCCCGACGCCACCTACCCCGAGGTACCTGCCACTAGTGCAAAGCCCAAGTCGTTACCCCCCCCCCACCACCACCACCTCACGCAGCTCCAGCGCGTCCTCTTTTTCCACGCCCACTGCTATTTCGACCACTCGAGCGAAGCCAACGTCGAACTTACCCGAGCCTTCAGGTATTGCATTTGTTTAGTTATTCATTAACTAATTATCAATACCTATCATTTATCTATTTTCATTTGCATTCACGCCACGCCGTAGGGAGAACGTGATCGAGGCGCACAAGGACACGAGAGAGGTGGAGGTGCACACGCTGTACCCGCGGGCCGTGGGTCCGCACCCGACCGGCAACTTTGAGGTCCTCTTCACCCGCCGCGCCTTCGCCTCCTTCGTCTCCTGGCTCATGTGGCACAGGCACGTCTCCGCCACAAACAACAAATCGACATCGCACGACATCGCACGACACACCCTACTCACTGTCGTGCGCGCGGCTGTTGTGTGCGTGTGTGTGTGTGTGTTGCAGGCCTGTGGATGTGGTGAGCAGCATCTTGATCCTTCCGATCACGCCCAACCAGATGCCCGACCACACGGTGCGTGCGCTGTGGATCGGCGAGCGCCTGGCGCTCAAGACCGAAGTCCTCGAGCGCGCCGACAGCGCCACGCTCGCCCTGGGCCAGTCCGAGGTCGAAGCCATTCTCTCCATCGCCGCCCACTGACACAGACCTTCAGAGCTGCGAACCATCGTCGTCAGCTGGCGATCTGGGCTTGCATTGTGTTTGTTGATGAAATCAAGGCAAACAGTTCACATGGCCCTTTCCATCTGGGCCAGTCGTCGGCTCACCACGCTGATCGTTTGCTCCACCTGCGTTGCCTCCACCTAGGGCCAAGAAGAGATCGTGTGCGTGCGGTGTGTGTGTGGTTTGTGCGGTGGTGAGTGCCAAAGATGGTGTTGGGTGCGGGCGAACAAGGGAGGAGCAGTGGTACGAGGATAAAGTCGGTGCTGAAGGTGGATAGGTAGTAGATGCTGATGCCCTCCTGTGCCAAAATGTCGGCCAGCAGACTCACCACGCCCATGTCCGCTACGATGACGTGAGCCACTGAGGTGAGACACAACACGCGCCGCATACACGGTACTCATACCACCACCAGCCACCAGCCACCACCAACCACCACGACGGGAGAGTACGTACTGAAGCCAAGAGAGCCGAAATCGACTTGGACCGACTTCCACTGGGACGAGTGGACGGCGAGCACGTCTTCCGGGAAGTCGGCCATGAGCTCGTCGTCCAGAATGAGAGACAGCTCGTCGCCGGAAACGGTGAAGGAGAAGAATGGCGTTTTGCTGACATCAACATGTGGAGTGAGCAATGGGCACGAAAAAAAAGAAAAAAAAAGAAAAAAACACCACCGTCAGCCGTTGGTACCTTAAGAAAGCCTTCAGGAGCTGGTGTGTGCAGCTGGGAATGCTCTGTTGTGAGCCAAACAAAGAACAAGTACCATTGTGTGAGCGACATAACACACAACACAAAATAATCGAAATAATAAATGAAATATAAATAAATAAAAAGATGGCGGACGTACGCTGGTGGCCATGCAGGCGAGGGAGAGATGCTTGGGGAGAGGCGAGAGGAGCATCTGTTTGGAGACTGACGATCCGGGCGGGGACACCGGGTGTCGACCGCTTTCGCCGCGGGTGGGCGGAGTGGGCTTCTGCTTGGCCCCCGAATTGAAGTCGGCCAGCGTCTTCTTGAGCAGAGTGAGCGCCCTGTCCAGCTTCGCCTCGTCTACCTAGGGGTAAAACACATCAACGCCAGCCAAGCAACACGTGGTGTCAATCGGCGATGGTGCGATCATGACAGGGCCGAGGGTGAAAAAAGGAGGGGAAGAGACATACGAGCAGCAAATCGGTGTTGAAGGTGCTGAAGTAGATGACATTGATGCCCTCCTGCGTGATGCCGCCCGACAGCAGGCTCACGTAACCAGTCATGTCTGAAGCATTGC